GAACAAAGCTGGAGGTATTATGCTCCCTGACTTCAAGCTAAACTACAAAGCTATAGTAATCAAAACAGTACAGTACTGGCACAAGAACAGACCCATAGATAAATGGAACAGAATAGAGAACCCAGAAATAAACCCATGCATATTTGGTCAATTAGTAAACAATAAAGGAGCCATGAATATGCAGTGGGGAAAACAAAGCCTCTTCAATAACTGGTGTTGGGAAAAATGGACAGAAAGACAAGGAAACTGGATTACTGTCTAATTCTGTACACAAAATAAACTTGAAATGGATCAAAGACCTTAATGTAAGACAAGAAACCATGAAACTCTTAGAAGAAAACACAGGCAAAAATCTCTTGCATATAAATGTGAGCAACTTTTTCATGAACATATCTTTTTGGGCAAGGGAAACAAAGTAAAAAATGAATAAATTGGGGCTACATCAAACTAAAAAGCTTCTGTACAGCAAAGGACACCATCAGCAGAACAAAAAGGCATCCAACAGTATGGGAGAATATATTTGTAAATGACTTATCTGATAAGGGGTTAAATATATAAATAACTCATATGACTTAACACTCAAAAAACAAATAACCTGGTTAAAAAGTCAGCAGAGGACCTGAACAGACATTTCTCCAAAGAAGTACAAGTGGCCAACAGGCATGTGAAAAGATGCTCCACATCACTAATCATCAGGGAAGTGCAAATCAAAAGCACAATGAGCTATCATCACACACCAGTTAGAATGGCCATTATCCAAAGGACAAGAAATAACAAGTTGTTAGCAAAGATGTGGAGAAATGAGAACCCTCCTACACTGCTGGTGGGAATGTCAGTTGGTGCAGCCACTATGGAAAGCAGTATGGAGGTTCCTCAAAAGACTAAAAACAGAAACACCATTTGACCCAGTAATTCCACTCCTAGGAATTTACCCAAAGAAAACAAAATCCCTGATTCAAAAAGATACTCATCCCTATGTTTATTGCCACACTATTTGCAATAGCCAAGATATGGAAACAACCTAAGTGTCCACCAATAGATGAATGGATAAAGAAGATGTGATACATATACACAATGGAATATTATTCAGCCATAAGAAGAAAAGAAATCCTGCCATTTGCAACAACATAGATGGATCTAGAGGGTATTATGCTCAGTGAAATAAGCCAGGCAGAGGAAGACAAAACCATATGATTTCACTTATTTGTGGAATCTAAAAACAAAGCGAAAGGGAAGGAACAAAACAGCCCTAGACTCATAGGCACTGAGAAGTGATTAGTGGTTAGGGCAGGGTTAGGGTGGGTCAGTGGGGAAGGTGAGGTGGATAAAGGGGCACAATAATTCACAATCACAATATGAGTTGGTCACGGGGACAGTAGTACAGCATGGAGAATATAGTCAATGATTATGTAACATCTTTCTACATTTATAGATAGTGACTGCACTAGAGGGGGTGAGGATTTAATAATATGGGTAACTGTTTTACCACTGTGTTGTACATTTGAAACCAATATAAGATTGTACATTATTGATACTTCAATAAAAAAGAATAAAAGGAGCCACAAGAGAATAAAAAGCACATGTATTCCTACAACCCAGAGATTACTGTTTAATATCATGAAATTCGAGGGCACAGAATTAGATTATGAGTAATCCAATGAACACTGTCATAGATCATGCATACTGTCTGACTGATCCATGCATGGCCCTCTTTCATTTTTATACATTAATGTGTTTATTGAATTTTCATAATAATACAATTATTAGTCAATAATATGCTTTTAATTATAATGAACACCCACTCATTCATAGAAACTGAGCACCAGAATACTGAGAATAACCAATCCACTTCTGTTTTCCTCCCCTATTCCAACTCCCTTTCCTCATCCCCAGTGACCATTATCCTGAATTTTTACTGATAGTCTTTTGCTTTTTGATAAACTATTTTTAGTCCCCCAAAATATGTATGCCTAAATAATATAGTGTTTATTTTACTTAATAAAAAAAGAACATTCTATTACATGAAGTCTTCTGAGGCTTGATATCTTAATTTAACATTATAGTAGTAAAATCTGCCCATATTATTGTGTTCAGCTGTAGTGCATTCATTTCACTGATGTAAAATATTCCATTGTGTAAATACACCACAATTTATCCATTTTCCTTTTGGAACTTTAACTGCTAACATTTTAGTGTATATTCTTGTAGTTATTTTTCTGAGGACATTTTTGTTTCCCTTCCACAAAATTTGAATATTTTACATACTTTCATGTGACCTGTTCCTTTCACTAACGAGCTCCTACAAACTTAATTCACATTTCAGTAAATAGTCTTCTGAGCTATAAACTTAAATAGCTCCAAAGCATTCCATCATATAGTAATAATACAATTTTATTTAACCACTGCTAATTTTAAGATATCTATCTGAACTACTTATAATTTTTTTTCTGTGATAAGCATTATGATGTACATATCCTTTGGTTCAGCAATTCTTCTTTTAAGAATTTATCTTAAGTAATATCTGAACAAATTTGTACACAATCATGTACAAGGTCACCATGTAGGATGACACAGTTTGTGTTCTACTCATCTTTCATAACACATGTGCTCATCACAACAGTTTGTATAATACAAAAAAAAAGATGAAAATACCTGTCCACCAGTAGAGATGAAGTAAATAAGTTATGTATTAAAATTATAACATAGATGCACAGTTACTAGCAAGACATTTGTAATTTATTATTAAGTGGAAAAAAATAGTCTAAATGGCAGTATGGTTCCACTTGTAAAAGAAAATAAACATACCTGTGAAAGAATGTGGAAGAATGTAAATAAAAAACTTTACAGCAGTTATCTCCGAGCATTGAGTTTATTTAAGATTTTAACTTTCAATTTGCTTACTTATATTTTGAAGTGTTTTCAACAGTAAAACTTGATTACATATATAATAAAAAGATGACTAAATAATTCATTTTGTGCACATTTAAATGTTTTTCCTGAATATAAAATACTTGCACACTGTAAGAACTTTGGAAGAAAAAAAGAACATAAAGAAGTACACGAAAATCACACATAATCGTACCCACCCGAGAGATAATTAGTTCACAATCTCCTGTGTTTATTTCTAGTCAGTTGTCTCTGATTATATGTGTTTAAAATAATTACAATCACTTTATATAATCTTGTATGCTGATTTTACACTTAATATTATGTAATATCAACATACCATAAATATTTTAATGCAAGAGTATTCCATCACATGGAAATAGCACATTCATTTAATCATGTCATTAAAAGTTATAACCATAGGTTCTGTTTCTCACTATACAAAATAACTATATGTGAAACATCCTTGTGCATGAATTATCCACATTTTAGATAATTTCCCTGAGTAGATTCACTGAAATAAAAATACTTAAGAGTCCCAACATTTTTATATCCCTGGATATATATTGCCAAAACTTTACTTACTATGTATTTTAAGGAAGCATGAAGTAGAAAAAAAAAAGAAGTCAAAATATGTGGATCCTATGCCCATCTTTAGTACTGGCTGTTTCACCTCTGATACATAAAACTAATATAAAAACATCCATCATATCCAAGTCACAAGGTTATTGTAATAATCAAATGAGAAAATAGATCCTTCAGTCACCATAAATGTTACTTCTTTATGAATTGTTCCTTAACTCTCCTGACTTTCGTAGTGTCCTATACTTACTTTTCCTTCATGGTCTTACAACTGATAATTGTTCAGTTATCTGTACATGGTCTGTTCCACCAGATGATTTTAAGCTCCATTAAAATACGCCTGGCACACAGTTGGCGCTCAATAAATATTTGTTGAATGAATGAACAAATGAATTAATGAATGAATGAAGTGGTAGCACTGTTACCTAAATTATTAGACTTTTATAAGATGTTTTGATTTATTATTATTCATTTGTAATACCACATAGATGATTCTAAATCTTTAGAGATTTCCTTGTCTAACCATAATTTCATTATGTGGCTTGAATTTCTGTGCCACCCAGAGGTATGGGAAGCATTGCTGCTGGAAGCACCTGGTAGGAGCTGTGACTTGGAGAACCAAGTAATGAGTTCTCTAGGTCAGCATTCTGGGAGTTAAGGAGTTGTAGTTACCATTAGTCAGACACAAGGCAGTGGTCAGGAATCCAGGAAGTCAGTGATATTTGAAGAAGCAGGTGGATCCTGGAGGTCAGAAACAAACTAATGGTAAGTGGGCTAGGTGGTAAGATGCAATCTGGAGAATGGTCAGTGGTAAGGGATTAAAAGAGAGGGGAGAGTTAAATTCCAAGCACCAGTACTCAAAGCATGGAGCTATGAATATGATCCTAAAGCAAAGGGTATTTGAACTCAGTGCTTCTTTATATTACTTCTCCCTAACCTAAAATGGTATCAGGAAGTGTTTGTGCCTAGTTCCACATATGTGAGCAAGGGAATGATACTAGCCAGTTGAGGAATGAGATTTGTGAACACAAATAGGTTCTGATAGTGACAGGATAAAGTGAGAACATTTGTATATAAGATCTTACAATAGTTTACACATAAAATAGGTGCAATCAAGCTTTGGATCCCATAACTCTCATCTTGATTATTAACAACAGATATTATAGCATTGTGGTTAGGATCATGGACTCTGAAAACAGGCTAGCTGGGACTTTGGAAAAATGCCAGCTCTATAATTGATTATTTGTGTCCTTTTGACAAGTTACTTTACCTCTGTGTGCCTGTTTCCTCATCTGTAAAATGGGGATGATAGCACCTACCTCAGTGGATTCTCATGAAGATTAAGTGAGTTGATTGCATGTAAGGACTTTAGAACAGTGCCTGGACATAGCAAATGCTATGTTAAGTGTTATTATTATTATTATTAGTCACATAAGACCAAACAAAAATTGATGTTACAAAAAATCGATAAATACACTGTATGTTAACTTTATCTAAAATAATAGCCTCTAAACAGGAATTTTTCTCATTAAAATAAGAATTTCACTTGCATCTAAACATACTTGACTGTATAAAAAATATAATCATTAGCAAAGTAGCAAAATTTATCAGATCAGTGTGTATATTCTATAAAAGATGTTTTATGAACACTATCTTAAAAAGTTGTAAAGAATAAATACACATTTCCTAGTAGCAAAAAACACTATGAAGCTATAGTACAGTTGATCCATAAGATCTGCTCTATAAGAAGGAATGCCCTATTAAATTTGTTTAAAGCTAACTCTACTAGAGGCAGGAATATTTCAGTTAGAAGATTGTCTGTGGAAATATCTGAACATGGGAAGGCTTGTACTTGGGAAGACTAAATTTGAAAAAGTTTGCACCTGGGGATAGGTTGGAAGACTTGGACTATGGAACATGTTAGAATACCTGGATATTGTAGACACTGGAAGACCTGAATGTTAGAAGACCGGTACACTGGAGACGTTGGAAGACGTGGATATTGAGCCACTGTTGGAAGACTGTATAGCTGTTGGAAGACATGGAGATTCTGGAAGACGTGGAGATGCTGGAAGATGTGGAGATGCTGGAAGACGAGGAGTTGCTGGAAGACATGGAGATGCTGGAAGACGTAGACGTGCTGGAAGACGAGCAGATGCTGGAAGCCCTGGAGATGCTGGAAGCCCTGGAGATGTAGGAAGACATGGATTTTCTGGAAGACGTGTCTTAATTGGAAGACGTAGATTTGCTGGAAGACATAACTTTGTTGGAAGACGTGGATCTTCTGGAAGACATGACTTTGTTGGAAGACATGGATTTTTCTGGAAGACATAGGTCTGTTGGAAGACATGGGAAGACGGGAAGACATGAATTTGATGGAAGACACAGCTTTCATGGAAGACAAGGATTTTCTGGAAGCCATGGATTTGATGGAAGACTTGGGTTTTCTGGAAGACTTGGATGGGCTGGAAGACCTGGAGATCATTGGAAGACATGGATTTTCAGGAAGACCCGAACTTTCCGGAAGACCTGGATTGTTTGGAAGACATAGATTTGCTGGAAGACATGGAGGTTCCTGGAAGACGTGGATTTTCAGGAAGACGTGGATCTCAAGGAAGACATATATTTGCTGGAAGACCTGGATTTAGTGGAAGACATGAATTTTCTGGAAGACGTGGCTTTACTGGAAGACCTGAATTTAGTGGAAGACATAGACTAGTTGGAAGACCTGGATTTTTCTGGAAGATGTGGATTGACTGGAAGATCTAGATTTGGTGGAAGACGTAGATTTTTCTGGAAGACTTGGACTGAGTGGAAGACCTGGATTTCCTTCTGGAAGACACTGATTGATTGGAAGACCTGGATTTTTCCAGAAGACATAAATAAGTTGGAAGATCTGGATTGACTGGAAGACTTGGATTTGGTGGAAGACATAGATTTTTCCAGAAGACGTGGATTGGCTGGAAGACCTTGAAGTTGTTGGAAGACGCGGACTGTCTGGAAGACCTTGAAACCACTGGAAGACTTGGATTTTTCTGGAAGACATGGATTTTCCTGGAAGATACAGATTTTGTGGAAGACCTATAATTGCTGGAAGACTAGATTTACTGGAAGACATGGATCATCTGGAAGACGTGGATATTCTGGAAGACTGGGATTAGCTGGAAGACCTTGATGCTGTTGGAAGACGTGGAGTTTCTGGAAGACCTGGAGTTGTTGGAAGAGCTTGACACTGGCGCCATTGGAAACCCTGGACATTGGAGACATTGGAAGCACAGGATGTTGGAGACATTGGAAGCCTTTGATTTTGAGGACATTGATTATTATGGACACTGAAGGCTTTGGAGGACCTAAATGTTAGAGTTGATGGGTATTGGAAGCTGTGGAGACTGGAAGCCCTGAATATTACAGACATTGTCAGTCCTGGTGTACCTTGGAAGCCCTAAATGTTGGGAGAGGTGAACAATAGAAGATCTAGACATTTAGAAATCCTAAAATTGGAAGCCCTGGATATTGAGAGATATTGGAAAACCTGGACATTGACACATTCATGTTACAAGATGTAGAACTTGGAAGATGTAATTTTTTCATGGTGCTGGAAGTCAAGGGTTCTGGCAGCTCTGTACATTAGAGGACCAAAACATTAAGAGTTCAAGATGTTAAGAGACCTAGTCATTCAGACAATAGAGATCTTGGAATACCTAAATGTTGGAAGACCAGATTCTTAGAGATAGTGAAAGATTTAGGCAGTGGAGGAACTAGTGACTACAATACACTGTAAACTCAGAATTAGAAGACACTAAAAGTTATAGGAACCGAATGATGCAAGTGCTAGAAGATATTGGAAGAGCCAGACTTCAACACAGTGAAATACATGGACTCTAGATTACCTGTATATAGGAGACATTGGAGGGTTGAGAACATAGAAAAACTGGACATTAGAACTCTGGCCTTAAAAGACAAAACCTAGAACTTGAAGATTGATTGTTGGAGATATTAGAAGACCTAGACTTTTAATGGCCCTGATATTAAGGAGATTAGAAAAAATTACCATTGGAAATTCTGTAAGCCAGAGAATGAAAGACATGGATGTTGAAAAATTTAGAAGATCTAGCAACTGAAGATGTTGGAAGCTACAGAGCTCAGAAGACTTGATGTTAGAGACACTGAAGAATTGAAAGACTTAACCTTAGAGATATTAGGTCATGATGAAAGATATTGGCACTGTTGGACAACTTTCATATTATAACTTGATATTACATTAAAAGACATATCATAAGGTTACTCTAATAGTCTTTATGACTATGACATCTCTTTTGTTAAAAATCAAAATACAGGGAAAGGGCATCTTAGGAAGATGACAAAAAAGGAGCAGGTAAATTCAAGTAAAAGCAAGTAGTTTGAATGGTTTGGAACCTATCTTCATAGTCTCAATGAACTGGCTTTCTGGGTCTGTATTGGTTGACAGAACAGGAACAAAGAATTATCAAAAAATAAGCAGTATCAGGGCTTGTAGAACTACTCATCTTTAGATCAGTGGTCAGCAAATGTTTTCTGTAAAGGATCAGATAGTAAATATTTAAGGTTTTGCAGTCCATAGAGTTTCTGTTAGAATTACTTAACTCTGCTATTGCAGTACAGCCATAGATAATATGTAAATGAGTGGGCATGGCTGTGTTGCAATAAAACTCTATTAAAAAAAAACAGTTGGGCCATATTTGATCAAAGGGCCTTCATTTGCTAGGCCCAGCTCTAGATGCCAAATATAGAGTATGGTAAACTTAAGTATGTTCCAGGCTACCATTCACATCTAGAGAATAGATTGTGCAAGTTGAAGCCTGAATGGTAAAGATACTATCTATGTAATGACATCCAGGAAATGAGGCTGATAAGAACCTAAGAATGGAGTTTAGATCTCCACTTAATTAATTCAGGGGCCCAAACAGGGAGATTTATATTCAGAGTTAAAATTAAGTGGGTAGCATTCAGCACCCCAAACAAGGAGGCTAGGGTTCAGTAATGATTCCCTAATTTAGTAGGCTGGAAGCTTTAAAAGAAAATTAAAGAAACTCACCACTAAAAACTGGGGTTATCCTGCCAGAACTAAGCACCACTCACCCAAAGAGAGGGAGTCCTCAACCCAGGACAGACAAGAAGCCAGTGGCACAGTCCTCACTCTAAGTCCAATGCCTTTCCCATTATGGCACTCACCCTACCACTTCCTATTAATCAAGAGCCAACTCTAGGTATCTGCAGTGTTGGAGAACAAGAAGGAGACTACAGCTTGGTAGGTTCATCTTTGGCTTCAGGTAATAAGTCTGCTTGCTGATCTTACCCATTGGACCTTATGTGACAAGCTTAAGAGATCAGGGTTGAGCTGTAGGCTGAAAATCCTTAATACTTAGGGCTGAGGAAGACAGGGACTATCACATATATTGCATGAAAGAGAACACAGGCAGACAAAATTGGTTAAGGTACACTGGGAGTGGACCATTATTAAAAGTTAAGTAGTAGAATATATAGACAATGGGCAGCCACTAAAGATTTATGAATAGGGAAGTACCCAGAATCAGAATTGTGCACAAGGAAAATTAGTCAAGCAGCAAGGAGCTGAATACCAAAGACTACTAAATGCATTGGCAATGTTGGAAGACTTTCATATTAGAACCTGATACTACATTAAAAGACATATATCATACTAGAACACCAAAGACTCCAAGTGAAAACACTTAAAGAGTTGGGATGTGAATTATGAGGCTGCTACAACCAACCAGGTTAAATGGTGGTGGGCTTGAATTAAGGCAATGATAGTTCTGTAGCTCAGCAGACACAGCATTAGAATTATGATGAATACTCGGCTTTCTGAATACCACCATTTAAAGCTTCTTGAATGCCGTCACAAAAAAGATGAAATACAAAGAAGTTCAGCAGCTAGTTTTGAGGAATTGTCCCCACCCACTAAGATTACTTCGACATCTACTTTCTCTCAAAAGCAGGTGAGCTAGTAACTTGGTAGTTTAAGCAAAGTAGGTTCTACATAGCTTTATCTTTAGTTCCTATTAACACAGAGTGATCTAAGTATCTTAAAAGTGGAACCAAAGGGATGGATTATTTTCTAGAGGATAAGAATACATCCATGTGGGGAAAAAAGTCATTACCTCTAATCACCATATAAGTAAATATCATGCAGTTATAACCACATTATAAATATAGCATATAGAATCACTACAGGTCAAGGAGTAACAGGGACAAAGGAAATACTGTTTCAGACAACTCTTATGAACTAACAAAGAAAAATATTAAAAATAAATTTTTATTCCTTCTCAAAACCATCATGCATACCTCTTCCAAGGGAAATTAGATAAAATATCAAAATATTAAAATTTTGCAAAGACAGCAGTGAACTATCACATTCTAGTCCTATAAGGCTTATTTATAATAATAATAATAATAATAGCAACAATTTATTGAGCGCTTACTATGTGCCAGGCACTGTACTAAGCATTTCATATAATCTCATAGCAATCCTATATTGCAGGTATTTTTTTTTTACCCCATTTAACAGATTAGAAACCCAAGTCTGAAATGTTTACAAAAACATGCCCACAGTCACATAGCTGGTAACTGGCAGGGACAGGATTGAAAGCAGGTCTGTCTGATTCCAAAGCCTCATCCCTGTGCTGACTTCTCATTACCACTAGCCTAAGGGTTATCCTGCCACGACTAAATACCACTCACCCCAAAAGGTGGTTCCCTAGCCCAGGGCAGACAAGAAACCAGTGGCACAGCCCTCACTCTAAGTCCCATGCCCTTCTCATTATGGTACTCACCCTACCACTGACAATTAATCAAGAGTCAACTCTAGGAGTTTGCAATGATGGATTAATCATATCTTTGGCTTTATGTAGTGATGCAAGAAAGATGGAGTGCAATGTCTCAAGCACACTAAATTAATTTTTAACTTCTCAATATTTGTTATTCATGCTAATGAAATGTACTATTCATCCTGTTGTCTGTTTTCTATTTAGTTTTATGGTTTCTAAGAATATATACACTTGGTTCATAGCACATCATGTTTATTTCCAAATTCCTAGATAAACAACCGTAACACACTGATGTCAAAGGCCATTAGAAGGTAATACTATGCAAAGTTCAGTGATCAGTGTATTTCACAGCACAAACATGGTTTACACACTCTTTTAGACTATCCATACTATAGAAGCTCTTTATTAACATTAAGGTGGCAGCAGCTACGCAATCCAAATGTGTACCTTAAAAAGCCTTCTGTGCATTTTGAACTTCAAAGATTTAAACAAACAGCTCTTTTTAAAGGTAATGGCAGTTTTCTAATATTTTCTACAAATTTCAGCAACCTGGGCTGCCCTTTCTCCCTACCCCTCTTTTTCTTTTGGCCATTGTTAAATATGTTTATAAAGAAGGAACTTTCCATGCACTTCATAATATTGAACACAAGAATTTACCTGAACCATTTGACAAGAGAAAGATTCTTTCCACTCAAACCGTACATACAATATAAGAAATTTCAGCTTTTCAATTTGGGGGATTAAGAAGAAAAAAGAAGAGTCTGCTTGCTAGATGGGCTGCTGCTGGATTCATCAATCATATAATAAAGCCAATTAGATCTTCAAATTTAAAGAAAGAAAAAAGCAGCACCCATTTACATGGCTGTATTGTCACTAGCTTCTATTTCCACCACGTAGCTTATACTGGCTTCCGCATCCTCCTGTCTGGTCTGTTGACTTGTTCAACTCAATCACAGTAAACTATTCTAACTTTACCTTCATCAACGAAACTTCTTAAATTATTTTAACTGGACAATTCCTTAAAGAAGAATTAGATTTCTCCCAATGTTTTATTTCAAATGGCCTGGGTGCAAGACAAATGTTTCCACCTATCAAGTCAAAGTCTAGGCATTCCCACAACTGAAACCATACAATGGTCAGGTTCCTACTGTATTATTTTATATTAGCAGTTGCTAGTTTGTGCTGTTCAATTTAAAATTGGATTTCCCTAATTCTTGGCCAAATTGAGAGAAAAACCTGACAAGGCAGTAATCTCAATGGTAAAATTATCAGAAAAGCACATTCTTTAAAGGCATATGGAACCCACTGATTATACTGGTTAAACAATCATTGACTTAAAAATATTTACCTCTAGATATGATTAAGAATACGCCAAGTATCCATGGAACCTTGAAACAGTAACCATACAGAGTTCTCTGCTTTGGTTTATGGAAACAACAGATACAGAATGTTAAAGTGTTTTACTCACAACATCTATGCATAGTATTCTCCCCAAACCCCCCATAACTCAGAGGAAAAACAGCAATTATCATATAAAAAGAAGCTCCCAGGAGGTACTCTATGGCTTTCCTTTCAAGAAGTCAATGGTATGTTTGTTTCCCTTTTTCTCTATGGCATCTATACCTAACTCTTTTCCAGGAGGAACTAGAGTGTGGTAAAGCTTGAACCACAAACACAATTTTAAAAATAACAAGAATACAAAACAATAATGTTACTACTTACCTTGGTCTCTGTGAAAGGGCTTAGGTACTCTCAAAATCAACCAGTGAGGTTGACGTACCTTTCCCTCAGGAGGACAGTGCCAGGAGGACCTTAGAGATCAAGTGGTCCTATTCTCTCATTTGACAGATGATGGAAGAGTAGGGTGATTTGAATAAGACCATCCCCTGTGCTAGTGGCGGAGCAGAAACTTGGAATCAAGGTTTCCTAGCTCCTGGGCACACTACCATTTGTATTGTATTTTCTACTACAACTCTGTTTAGACTTAGAGAAGAGGTTTACAACCATGGCTGCAGTATGAAAATCATTTGAGCTTTCATAATATACAGATGCTGGACCCCATTCTTGATTCAGCATGTCTAGAAGAAGGTCCCAGAAATCTGTACTTTTCAAAGCTCCCCATCATGATTTTGATGTGCAGTCAATGTTGAGAACCACTGTTGCTTAGAGCAAGAGTTTGAGTTCTCCTGGCACTGTGGTGAGTGACTAGATGCACAGCACCCTGTGATGGATTTTCAGCTCTCATCTACCTCTTTTGAATTTGTCGAGGAATGTCCATCATCTCAACTGTAACTATGCAAGCCCTTTTAACGTTTGTATTTTTTTCCTTTCCTCTATTCACTTCAAACTCAGATATAGGTAGCCAATCATTCAGACCTCCAGGCCAGGGGGAAAATTACTAGATTTCCACCACCTCTAGGGTATAGGAAGTTTCAATATCCCTTTTCTGGAGGATATTCAACTGTTCAAATCACAGGGAAGACCATATATGAGAACAGAGAAGATCTATGTAAAGGAACTCTAGCAGCTTCTCTTCCTTGATTTGGTAAGAAAGTCAATCCGGGAATCCATTATAAATGTATTGCCTTTCAGGACTGACCTAGCTACCTTATACAACTGTTGCAAAACAAATTATCTTATACCAAACTAGTTAGAAGGAGAGGGTTTGTATCCTTTCTGTTGAGATAGCAAGTCAGGCTTAAACTGACTTAAAATAAATTTCAGCATCAAGAGTATAAAATCAACTCGCCCAAGCGAGCAGAGCAGCCCACTCCCTAGGTACCGGAGTTAACTTCCTCACTGCAGGGGAAACTGTGCTGTGGGAGTTTATGAGCTTTGGGGAAAAACTGGGGCAGGGAAAGGAGCATTACGACAGTTCAGGCAACTGGTTTGTTCACTGAAATGAAACACTATGTAAAGTGAATCTTGATTGTATTTTACTAATTTACACTAGCAATAGTGATTATTGGGCAATTAATTTCTATTTCTCTCTGATCTCAATGTGGGGATAATCACACATCAATGAAAATGCTGGTCATCACAGTGGTGGTAGGGAAAGGATTAGAAAAATTGGATTTTGTCAGTTCTAAGTGAGCTCAGTCTTCTGCTCCACTTGCATTCTCTGGCACATGGATCACCGTATTATCAGAGCTGTCGAAGTCTGAATCCCAAGGTTCAGTCTCTGGATGTGGCCTTTCTCCTTGTTTGCAGAACCAGTTTGAATGACATGGCATGATGGCCCAGCCTCTTCTCCCCTGTTAAAGCAAGCAGAGAAAAGATTTATTGGCTTTTGTTTGAAGGTTTCTTATTACTGTTATATAGGGTTGTGGGTAAGCATTTAATCCTTGCCTGAGGGTCAGTAAATGTTCCACCGAAGGGTCTCTTTGCTTTGAATCATCACAGCAATTTGATTTGCAAAGCGGGTGCTTCAACATACTTTGGGTTCTGGATGTTAAACTACAATGACCTTCTCTATCAACTTTTGATGTGATTGCATCACTGAAATATTTCTGAACTATCTTTTGAGGGTGAGAATCTAATAGTTCAGCAATGTCACTTAATTCAGTGTCTTCAAATCCTTCACCACCCAAACGTTTTGCAGATGCTACATTTTCAATTTCTTCTACCACTGAAAGGAAACTTTCAGAGCCCGTTACAACCTCATTCCCAAGTTTCTTCTAGGAGCCATTGACGGTTGATTGTTTTATTTCTTTCACTGATTCTTCTGCTATTGTTAAAGCATTACAAATGGAGAAGTTTTGCCAAGCTCCTTTCACAGTAAGTTCTGGTGTCTCTCTCCTAAGATCTGCAGGGTAGTCAAATACATGCCAAGTATAAGTACATCATGAACATTTTTAGCACCCCCAGATGCACGGGTTGAAGGAGTGGAGTTGTGCTGGGGGGAGTGGAGATGACTAACACCAGGATCAGCAGTTATTCCTGCACTCTTGTCAGTGGGAGCAGTGTTCAGAATCTGCAACACTTAGAATTCAAGATTTTTTTGCTTTAAATATTGTTTAACCTCAGGAACAAAACACTTAAAAAACCACTCCAGAAAGAGTTTCTCAGTGATCTATATTTTACGGTTTCTCCTCATGTAGACGGAAAAGTGTTTCTGGCATTCGTTTTTAATAGGGCAAGGATTTTGGAATCTGTGAAGCAGCATGGGTTTAACCAGAAAGCTGCCAGAAGCATTGGAACAAAGCAGAACTTTGAGCTTGTCTTTTCCAGGCTTGAAGCCTCTGCCTTTTTCTCATCCTTCACAATAGATTTGCATGCAGGCATGTGCTTCCAGAACAGGAGTTTCATCAGCACTGAAGGTTTGTTGAGGCAAATAGCCATTTTCCTCAATGAGTTTCTTCAAGTACCCAGGATACGCTGCAGCAGCTTCACAGTCTGCTTCCTCTGCCAGCCACTTCTTTTCATACAGACCATAGCATTTCTTAAACCTATCCAACCACCCATTACTCGCAATGAATGTTACAACTTTTTGTCCAGACTGAAATTTAAACTTGCACTTTTGTGATGCTTGCTGGTAGATTATATACACAGGAAGAGGTCTATTCAGCCTTCTCTGTTTTTGGAGTCACAGATGCAGATCTTTTTCCATTTGCTCTACTTTGGCATTTCGAGTTACATATGATTTTCTCAACGATTCTGGTGTACCCCTTGATGCACTGGCCCTAACAGCTTTCTCATTTTTCTTTATTGTACGAATTGTAGATTCATTAACACCAAAAAAAAATGCCCTACAGAGGCCTTGGTTTCACCATTATTGAGCATTTCAAGAACTCTCATTTTGTTTGCTAACGACATCACCTTTCTTGCCCTCTTGGGTTTTCTTGCATCTCTGCCATCCACCTTCTTGCTTTTCTGCTTGGATGCCATTCTTACCCAAACTTATGCAAATTTACAATTATTGAAAGTTTTATATCACTGAGCAATACACAACACTAATATGTAATACATAAGAAGCAAATGACAACATTCACAAGACAAAAAGGCAAAGAGCTTTTGTATGACTATAAATGTGTGTGATTGACAGCTTTGGAGGGAACAACAGGCAGAAGAACAAGGGTAGAAGCAAGTGACCGAGATGTTGGTCTTGTCACATGAGATAGTCAGCAAGATCACATGATAGTGACTTGAACTTGCATATCATTCCAAAACTTTCAAAGGTGCAGACTAGATAAACTTGAACTTTGTATGTGAGTGACTTGCAATTGTGATGCAATCCCGGAACTCAGGAGTCAACGTCAGGCTACCAGGCTGAGATGAGAAACACAAATATCACCATCTAGGAGAAAGCAGACACAAAAATAAGAAATGAAGTCAGGAACAGAGGCAGTTTGCATAAGTAGCTTATAGGCTAGCGAGGAGAACAGCAACTTGGAGTAATAATATATACCAAATTGCCCTTGCAAAGGCTGTAGCCATTTTGCTTTCTCACTAACCACAGATGAGGGTCCTTTTCCCCCATATGTTCACCAATCTGAAATATTATTTTTGTAATTATCTTTTTTATTTGTGCCAAGCAAAAGGTGAATAACAAGGTACCTCATTTTGTTTTCATTTTCATTTCTTTAATCATCTTTCCATATGGTAAGCCATTTCTATTTCTTCATCTTTAAATTTTCTCTTCATATCCTTTGCCCACTTTGAAATACTTTTCTTAGTGGTTTATAGGCACTATTAGCATATTAGGTAATTCTTATTTTTAATTCTAAGTTTCAAACATTTTCTCTAAGGCTGTTACATACTTTTTATTTTGTCTAGCACCATAAAGACATTTCAAATATTTATGTAGTCAAATGTTTCATGCCTTGTTCTGAAAAGCATTCCCCCCTCTAAGGTGATAAGGATATTTCCACATATTTTCTTTTATTATTTTTATAGTTCAGTGATACTACTTCAAGATATTGAGGAAAAGATGTACTACTCAATAAATGGTGTTGGAATAACTAACTATCCATCTACAAGAGTGTCTGAAGGTCTCTCTCAATGGCATTTCCCCTCTTAGAGCCACAGGCATTCTGGGAGAGTCAGAGCCCCACAGTGACCAAATTGGTGGCCTAGGATGATTGCAATTGATAACTCAGTTTCTCCAGAGATCAGTGTAGCTTGAGGAGGGGAATGTTTCCAAACGCATAAACAATTGCTATACATTTTGTTGGCTTAAGTTCTGTTCTGCTACTAATCTAGACTCCTGATCAACTGACAGTACCAAGTTCTCAGACTTCTGATCTTCTGATAGCAGCTTCCCTAATAATTAATAAGTAGTCACTCACAGTTTTGGCATAACTGAAGAAATCTGAATATGAAATGGCTGTTAGGTGAAAAGTGTTGACTCTATTAGGTATAATAATGGAATTATACAGATAATATAGGCAAATATTCACTTTTAGTGGGGAGAGCTAAAGCAATATATATATTACATAATCATTTATTTTATGGAAAAATATTAACAATTGTTAAATCCAGGCGGTTGGTTGGTGGGCATACACTGCACTATTCTATTTCACTGTAGGTTTAAACATTCTCATAATTAATACTGTGTGTGTGTGTGTGTGCACATGTGTGCATGAAGTATCAGTCTCATGCTTCATGCCTACATTTTAGGCACTACTGCATATGTATCAGAGGCTTTGCAGGTTAAATATAAGGTGAAAAGTTACAGCTAAAGAACAACTGATCATTGGAGAGAAATCACTTTAAATGAATATTTTCCTCACTTTAAGTCAGTAGATTAAATATTAATGAGACAGGGACCCTGGATGTAGTCAGAGTAGGGTGAGGGCCTCCGGAGGGGGCAGGGCGGGATATTTGCAGTCAGAGCAATATAACTACATGCAAGGAAACCCCCCTACTAAAACTCTATGTTAAACATTGAGCTCTAGAATCATTCTTCAGTGAGATCACTTAATGTTCCCCAGATAAAGAAGAGTAGCACATGTTTTATTATGCTAATCATTTGTAACCATGTGTAAGATTCACTTTAGCATACTAAAAGGCCCAGGCCTATGTGCTGTCTTTCCTCCTTCAGATCTGACAAGGTGATTTTGCAAACTGAGCAACTAAGTTAGCATGCAGACCCAGCTGTAGATGACATGGTAAAAGACAGGAAGAATTCCATCTTAAAGATAAGATTGCATTTTTTTTTTAGAGGGCATCTCTCATATTTATTGATCAAATGGTTGTTAACAACAATAAAATTCTGTATAGGGGAGTCAATGCTCAATGCACAATCATTAATCCACCCCCAGCCTAATTCTCGTCAGTCTCCAATCTTCTGAAGCATAACGAACAAGTTCTTACATGAACAAATTCTTACATAGTGAATAAGTTCTTACATGGTGAACAGTACAAGGGCAGTCATCACAAAAACTTTTGGTTTTGATCACTCATTATGAACTATAAACAATCAGGTCAAATATGAATATTCGTTTGATTTTTATACTTGATTTATATGTGAATCCCACATTTCTCCCTTTATTATTATTGTTATTATTTTTTTTAATAAAATGCTGAAGTGGTAGGCAGATGCAAGATAAAGGTAGAAAACATAGTTTAGTGTTGTAAGAGAGCAAATGTAGATGATCAGGTGTGTGCCTGTAGACTATGTGTTAATCCAAGCTAGACAAGGGCAATAAAACATCCACGGATGCAGAAGATTTCTCTCAAAACAGGGGGGGTGAGGTTCTAAGCCTCACCTCAAGATTGCATTTTAACACCCAGGAAGTTCAAGAGGCAAGATTCTTTAGCAAGCAGACAATACCTCAGCCCACCTTGGGGGCTGGGCAGGAAGCCTTTTGATGTGCTCCCGGACCAAGGCGCCAGTGTCCCAGAGAGAAATCAAGGCAGGAAATTCCTTACGTTAATTTTTAATATTCAGGGACCACTTAACAAGTCCACACCCCTAAGTTTTTTTCATGTTCTCGAAAAATCCTCAACTGTCTATAAAACCCCCTAGACAACGCACCACTACGGACTCTCTTGTCCCCTCCTGGCGTGAGCTGGGAGCTCTGTTCTTTCCTTTACCTCTAAATAAAAGCCTGTACCTTGCTGTCCTACCTTGACTGTGAAGTTCATTCTTCGGCTTTGTGAACAAGAACCCCGGCATTATTAAGGCATTATAAAGCTTGAATCCCAATATCAATTTAAAGGTAAAAGACTCAATTTCAAGTTTTCTTTTTCTCTACCAAATTGGAACAGAAGATTTATAGCAATTTTACCCAAAACTAGATTATTTCAAGCTGGTGACAGTTCAGCCTCATAACACTAATAAACAACTCTTTTCTATACCATGGAAGAGATGGACATTTGTGAAAAGAAGTAAGAAGCAGACGAGATAAAAATGGATAACCCTGAGTAGGGAGAATGACTACTATATGTTTAACTATATCACTGGGCAAAACTTCACTCAGACAAATTTCACATGATAGAACATACTTCTACCCATAAAATTCACTTAGGGTCAAAGTTTCATCCTGTGTTCTCTGACCTTGCTAAGGATATGTCACGTTTTCAAGATGCTAGAGCCAAGTTAGTGTGAAGAATAAAGCCTTTAAAATAAACTTCCTATGTTGCCTTTCAGTTCTGCAAGCTATACAGTCTGGAAGCTGTTAGGATGCTAATAAATAATGGTATTGTTGGGGGAGCGCTGTGTATTTTCCTCGGTCCTTGTCCCCGCCGCAACAAAGAATTGAAGGGCAGAGACACAGTAGTGAAGCAGAGTAAAGTTTTATTTAAAGTTACTTAAAGAAAGAAAAAGTGCAGCAGGCAACCTCAGTGAGGAGATGCGCCCTGAAAGGTTGGGAAAAGTTAAAGTTTCGCACTCAGAAAGTGCGCGCGACCTCAGAGAGAGGAGCGCCCCAAAAGGTTGGGGGTTCCCCCTTTTAACGATTCTTCAGGAATGTGACTAAGGCCTGGGGGTGTAGACCTGTTAAGTGGTCTTTGAATACTTAGAATTAAGTTAACACAAGCAACTTCCTGCTCTGATTTCTCTGGAGTCTTAGTCTGGGAGCGTATCAAACAAGACTGCCTGCCCAGCCCCCAAGGTGGGCTGAGTTATAGTCCGTTTGCTAAAGAGTAAGTTAAGAATCTTACATTTTTAACTTCCTGGGTATTAAAATTCAATCTATAAGATGGAATCCTTCCTGCCTTTTACTATGTTGTTTATGGCTGGGCCTGCATGTTAATTTGTTGCCTAGGTTACAAACTTTTTGATTAGGGCTGGAAGGAGAATAAAACAGCATATAGGTAAAGATAAAAAATAAACTGGGCCTCCATGATTAACACAATAAAGACATGGGCTATGCTGAGGTACCTTCCTTTATCTGGGGAATATTCAAACATTCCAGGCCAAGTTGCTCCTGGCTTTTTGAGCTTTAATTGATTAACTTTGGGTCTTTTTAGTGGACTTTCCTGGCCTTTTTCTCTTTCCACCCCACTCATATGTATTTTCCTGCTTAACAGTATAATGAAGTGTACCTCTACTCAGGGTATTTTTCCAAAGTATGTTTATCTACAGGGTTGACAGTGTAACATCATTCTTCTAGTCCTTGTGAGTCCAAGGATGCCTAGAATACATTGTAAGGTGAAATAAAGCCTAGCTGACTGAGCTCTGAAGTCATGAGTTGGGGCTCACACTGCTCAAGTGCCCAAAATGGCAGGAGGCTCTCAAGATGTTTTTCTAACAGCATTTCAACTGAGAAGAACAAAGAATTTTGTAAATGCCACACCCTGTGAGGATTTGTATGAATAAACAGGATTGAGTTCATTGCAGCTTTTGTTATGAAAGGACATTTGGTCTTAAGGGGTTTGCTTTTATATAAGCTGTGCAGAGCAATCATGATCATTTTCCTCCAAAAATTTTAAACACATACACAAGCCCAAAAAGTACAGACCCTTAGAATCATTTAACATTTTCAAGTATAATATCCATAAATGGTAACCAGTAGGAATGGTAACAATGAGAAATCTTTTTTTCAAGATTCATAAACTCCCACAATGCATTTACTAACATGATAAACAAAGATGTCATTCAACTGACTTTTGAGACCAAAGAGCAATAACAGAGCATTTCGAAAGTAAACCCCCATGATCAAACATTTCAGACATTCATTCGTTCTCCTCAATCAACTTGTGCTGATAAGAGCTTATCATATACAAGGCCATGTGATACGAGGAACAAATGAACTGAGGAAAAGCCTCCATCTCAAGGAACTTAGTCTTCTCGGAAGATAAACATAACACATTAGAAGGTAGATAAACATAACACATTAGAAGGTAGAAAGCCACACATTCCATAAGAGTCTGTGCACAAACAATGTGTTCTTGGGGCCTAACCTTCTCCCTTCTGTCCATTCCCACTTTATGTGCCTTGGTTCAGTTCAGGCCCTTCATTCCTCATCTGAAGAATAATGCAGCCTTCTGTCATCACCCTGCTATCAAGCCTACTGACCGACCACACTGCCTCCAGAGCAACCTTCCTAAAATAGGAGTCTAATCCAGGACTTACTCCTCTTTAAATCACTCCCATGAGGCCCCAGGGATTGTTGAGCAAAGTCCCACCTTCCTCTGATTGATGGCACCCTGCCTACTCTCCTAATATCCTCCCCCACTACCTCCTCCCATCCTCCCCTGTAACCTACAAGCCAGCCAGGTGAGGGGCTACCTCAACCATCCAGCTGTCCTTAGCTTTCAACACTAGTTCAAGCACCACCTTTTCCAAGAAGCTTTCCCTGCTCCCTCCAGCTGGTTCTGACTGGAAACCACTATCAGAGCTCCCAGAGCCTCCTTCCCGCACTTACTCTGATTACAGCATTCATGGCACTTCTTTGTAGTGCCTTTTGTTTCTCCATATTTTAATCATTTTGTGAATGTCTTGACATCTAGAACAGAATAGGTCATTTCATTGCATAAGTGCTCACAGTAGAGCCAGTAAGACCTGTATGCAGCACTCACAAAAGGGTCCGCATTGGAATTGGACCTTAAAGCTCTAATGTAGGATTTCCAATATATGCAGAAGGGTGTGAGTTGAGTGGGAAGTAAGAAAGGGGCGAAGACAGAGGCAGGAAAGTGCTGGAAGTATGGGGACTAGACTAGATGAGGCTAAAACACAAGGTGGCTGAAGTGGATAGTAAAAAACAAATTTGGAAAAGTCTGTTGAGGCAAATCATAAAGGGCCTCAGATGCCACATTTCTTTGGTAAGATGGAGTTACATTTAACTGTCCTGATATTAATGAATGGGCTTATGTTTGCAATGCATAAAAAAAGCAGATGTTTAGGACAAATCAGACCTATTCTTTCTTGTTACTAGGACTTGGCACACACATTCCTAGGAGAAAAAGTCCTGTTTGTTCCCTAAATAATTCAGGGATATCATGCTGATATTTATTATAACGTTGCTATTTTGTTCTTGCTATTTTAATCTTGATAACAAAGACAGTTATGAAACATCTTCACTGTCCTCTCGTGGTTCGATGGGCCATTAAATCAAATAGAAATCCATAAGTTCTTAATAATAATCTATCTTTCACATTAAAATTTCATGGGAGCTTATACATATTTCTTACTGGAGCTAAGTATTTTTCTTTTAGCTCTGAAAATTTTTCCCCCAAAAAGTCAAAATGGATTCTACGCAGCAACAGTGCCCTCCGCTGGCTACAGAGTGGAACAGTGCAACCCGGGCAGAGAAGGAACACTGAAGCCGAGGTAGGTGGGTGGTGAGCCCTGCCGCACGCAGTCCGCAAGGTCTGCACTTCCCCAATTTCTTCCCCGTTCATGCCAAGCAGAATGTTTGACTATTTAGCACCGCAAGGTAAGCAAACTCAGTTTAGTAAACCAGGACTTGGGGAAGTGCTCCGACAACTTCGCCCTTTCCCCTGATCTTTCAGGGGACTGGCCATGCCCAAAGCTTCCAAATATTTTTTTTTTTTGAGAAAAAGAACATAAATTTGAACAGTAGTTTCATGATCCCCTCCTCCGTTTGCTCTTCCTCTTTACCTTATTTTCACTGGCCTGTGTAAGACAAAAAGGATGCATTTAGTTAGGGAACCCTTTAAGGAGTCCAAGAATCACAAACCTAGCGGCGGCCGCATCCCAACCTTAAGTATAACCAGCCCATCTCCTGAGCCTGGAGGAGATGCGTCATTTGTTCTCTCTCTTAACCCTACGGGCAGCAAACAATACAAGATCAGCACAAAATGGTTCCAGGAGATGACAGTTGAAAGTCACTTTTTGCCAGCGCCTAACATAGTGTCTGCCACCTGCTGGGAGCGTTAAATTAGGTATGCTAAGGGAGATGCCCTGTAAATGACGGCGTGTCTTCCTCATTAAAGGGGCTTATATCATTGCAAATTCATCGAAAGTGCGTGTCAAGAAATGCTCCTGGCACACTAGAGAGGCACAAGGCGTCCCCAAGGGCCGAGTCACCCCTTTTTCTGCAAAAGAATCCCAAAGCCCTCCCCTGGTACTTGTGATTTCTTTAAAACGTTTTGTATTCAACCCAATTCTGAATGGGTTCCTAATCCTAATTAAGGGACCACAGCTTCACTTGTGCCTTACTTCGGTGGGGGTTCGGTGGTTCCAATGCAGAACTTTGCAACCTGGGGCCACCACTGCATAAACTCTGGCCTTCCGTGACTGCCGAACTCCACGCTGGCCCCACGCCAGGTGCAAAGCGAGGGGCTTGGCTCCTTGAGGCACAAGTGGGGAAGCAGCAGTCCCTACTTCCTTCTGCACAGCTAGGGAGGCACGTACACAGGGAAAACCCAGCTCACTGCAGCGGAGGAGCCGATGCTGAGTACGGCCGAGGTCCGGGACTTGACACGGCGGAGAGAGGAGGGATCACTTCCGAGCTGGTTTGCAGAGCTGGGGGCTCGGGTGAGGAAGCGTGGCCAAGTGCCGAGTCAGGATCGGGTCATGTCTTTATTTTTAATATTTTCATACATTGTTCATCATGGAATTTTTGTATTGTTTGAATTTTAAAGATACGGCATTAATATTTTTTTTCTTATTTACTGAGTGTCTTGGTGGGCCCTTAAATTTTGGGCCTGAGGCGAGTGCCTCCGTCCACTCGACCGTATCCCGGCTGTGGTCATTCGAGTGAGGGGTAAGTGACGGCCAGGATTCTGCAGCTAGAGAAGACGTAAAAAGCCGGAGGTGTGCCTGGGAGCCGAAGCAAGGGCCACCGCAGGACGGGCAGGGGGAGGCCAAGAGGTCCTCGCGAGTAATCGGTGGCAGCCCCCGAGGGACACCAGCATGGTTGGGAAACGCCGATAGGACGCCGGCTTACCTGCGGGTGGCTGCTCCCGGCGCGCGATCTACTCTCCCAGCCGCCAAGGCACAATATGCCCCCTCTGGGGAGGACGTGTGTTGTCTCTGCAGCGCGCCTCCTCTGCAGCAGCGGCCTTCAGCGCAGCCTTTATCCCCCAGCTGCTCCCGGGAGAGCCTGCCCGCGTGGGTGGCCCCTCCGGCGCCCGCCCGCCTGCTGCCCCGCTGCTCGCCCGAGGGCCACTCCTTGCGCGCGGGGCCGGCCCCTGCCCCACCGGGGTGGGAGACTGGGTGCTGCCACTTCTGACTGGTCGCTGTGTCAGGACACCACCTCGGTTGCCCCGCTAAGGCCACCCGCCCCACTCCGTCCCGGCAGGGCAGCGAGAAGCACGGTCCATTAACCCATATCAAGGCCAAAGCGCTAAGAACCCCCGCCAGGATCTGCTTGTTTTTCCTCAGCGGTAACAGTCGCCCACCGTCCTGATCGCCTGGGCAGGCGGCAAGGCTTAGAGCTGGAAGGAACATCAGATGTGGGGGAGGATACAGCATTCGATGTTTTCCGTGAAAAGTCAGCAAATTAAATGTGTCAACATTTAGTACCAGTAGTGCTCCCTAACAAGTAGGCACCCCAAGAAACGCCCCTACAGCAAGCTCTCTCAGTCACTGCCTGCGCACACTTAAAATCTCCATCCAGAGGTACGAAAATGTGGTTAGAAAAGGGTGGGCTTGAACTGATCTGAAAAAAGCCCAGCCCCTTAGACAACAGCCTGGGGGGATGGATTTGTTGTCCCTCTCCACCCTTCCTAAGACCTGAAATTTCTCAGAAGCTCTGTGCAAGTGCCTGTCCACAGGTTCCTTCAGGTTTCTTACAAAGCAATTAAAATGGCTTGTGCAAGTGACACTGGCAGCTCAGAATGCTCAACGTATACTCCTGGAAAATGGGTAAAGCACGACTGTTTAGGTCACAAGGTTTTTTTTTTTTAATGTGTTAAGTTGCACTGAAAAGTGAGGGAGGGGGTATGCACATTAGCCCAAATCTCTAAAGACCTACCTTGCTTCAGGAGTCCTCTCTTCAGATCTTTGGTAATTTTTACGGCCTCAGTAAATAGGTAATGTGCAAAGTTCCTAAGTATAAGAACAAATGCCAGATTTAAATAGGAATACAGGTCACCCACTTAAAACTGAATCGCAGATAAACAACAAATACTTTTTTATTATAAGTGTGTCCTACGAAATATATGGGACACACTTTAAAGAGTTAGTCATTGTTTACAGGAAATTCAAAGTTAACTGGTGTCCTCTTTTCTCTGACAACTCTTAAGAACAAGGTAACAACTTAAATTCTTTTGTTCATAGTCTAACAAACAAGAAACTAGTTTATATTGAGAGGTAGGCAAAAAATATCACCAGGATTCTTAATAACTTATACATGCAAAAAAAGTCACATTGAAATACAGAAGCAGTAAGAAGTTGATTTACATTAATTGAGGGGATTGTCAATCTAATAGTTCAGGGCATTAATCCGGGAATCTGCAAACTTCCCCCAAAGGGCCAAATCAAGCCTGGGGCCATTTTTGTATGGTCCTTGAGCTAAGAATGATTTTTACATTTTTAAATGGCTGAAAAGAATCAAAACAAGAATATTCTGTGGCAAATGAAAATGATATGAATTTTAAATTTCAGTATCCATAATTAAAATGTTATTGTAACCTAGCCACATCCACTCATTTTCTTATGGTCTCAGGCTGTTTTCAGAGTACAAACAAAATTGAATCATGCAACAGAGACAGATAAACCTGCACACCCAGAAATATTTACTATCTGGCCCTTTATAGAAGCTGTTTGTCTATCCCTGATATAGATGAAACGGGTACTGTAAAGTGGTGCTTTAAGTAATTGTTAAGTTGGTTAGCTAGCACTCTGAGTGGGCTAAACATTTTCCTTATTTGCAGAAATTATTTGCTGACTGTCCTTTTGCTCACAGTCAAAGGAAAAGGACCATGTTTCAGAAATACAAAATTTTGGTAAATTGAAAACCAATGGGGTTTTGATGATATTTGTTTTAACAATACAGGCTGTCTCGCTTTTCACAATTTCTAATTCACCCTTTGTCCACTGCTGCACTGCCTCGCAAAATAGAGTATTGCTTTGGATTAGATCCCTAACCCAGACGGTATTTTACCAAGTGGCCCGCCTGCCATCTAGTGGGGAAAGATATGAGTACTTGCTTGCTTTTCTTTTCTTTTGACAAACCGACCGGCTAGCTGTAAACGGTAGGACCTTGGACAGTGATGATAATAACAGTAATTGCCTACATTTGAATTGCAGTTTGCCACTTACAAAGCATTTCCCATATATTATTTTAATATATGCTCCCTCAGCACAACACTATGTTATAAACAGATCTTCCTGGCCCTATTTTTCAGGTGAAGAACCTGAGTCTGAACATTAGCTTATTCGAGGTCAGACAGGTAGGCTCAAACCCAACTGCCATGTTCTTTCAATAAACCTAACCGCTCTGAATTTAGCTTCTCTCATTTCTACATTTCTAGTTCTACCTTATGAATGATTTTGAAAGTCTCTGTTTACCAAAAACAGGATATGAGTTAAGATCATCTTTCTGATGGAAGGTGCATAAATTGGGCAGCAGACACTTAAGGATGTCATCATAAATGTGACTCTTTCTTATGGGCTTCCCTCACCTTTGGTTCATTGAATCTGGTTCTTGTTCATCACTAAGCACAGAGGCTGCTGTTGTAAGACAGAGGCATCTTAGTAAGTACTGGAAGAGCCCACGCGTCTCCCTTCTCAGATGAGCTTTAGCATCGTGAGTTCACATTTATGATGACATCCACGCTGAATCTAGAACTGGGCACACAAGGGGAATAATACTGAATCATGGGACACCTACTAAATGCACCTGTACTTGTCAAATGTGTCCAAAAATGCACAAAGGGTCAACAACAAGAAAGAACAGATTCCACAGCTTTGCAGATCATTGTTCTCAGGCTGGGCCTGTTTCTTGTGAACAGGCCCCCAGTGGGAACACTTTCATAGTACTTGCACATAGCAACACTTTCACATTAAATTTCTGCTGGAGGGTAGGGGTGTGAAAACTAAGGTACCTGGGACATGTGAATTAAATTCTGGCCTTGCTAGACTTTCAGCACAGCCTTAATTAACCACAGGTGATCCCTACTGTTCACAAGCTTTGCGGATGATGTGGTTTGTGTCCTAGATGGAGGGGCTCTCAGAAATGCTAGCTTGGGCCTGATCCTCGACCTGTTTTATTAGTTGCTCACATTGTCTTGGCAGCCAACATTCTGGTTGAGCCATTTCTAGCTGCTGAGACCTGGATATTTATGAGGCTATGACGTGGCTCAACTGAGGCATACCTCAACAATTATGCAAAGCAGATAGTATTGATCATCTTTAAATAGCCCCTGAGGTTTGCTACTGGTTTTCTCAAGGTCAGGTCATCAAAAGTATGTGTCTGCAAGTTCCCAGCACAAGAATTCCCTAAGAAAAATTCCTTATACTCCAGATACTCTTTCTATCAGAGATTTATTGTCACTGCTACAACGACTATACGGCTACTAACAGCTGACACACGTAGTGTTCTTTCTTGCCAGGCACTATCCTAAGAGATTCAAACAGATGAAGTACGCCAATCCCCTGGGAAATAGTAGTATTGCCATTCCCATTTTACAGATGTTAAAACCAAGGCCCAGAGAGCCTTGCTCAAGTTCACCAGTGAGCTTGAATGTGAATGGTACGGCAGTATTTGAACCCAAGCTGTCCAATTCCAGGGCCCTCACTTTTCACTAATACTGCCTCAATCCCAAAGCATAGTCAGAACAAAAGACACACGGCATTCTCAAGCAAGTCCGTGACCCCGCTTGGCATTCACTACCTGCCATGATCCAGCTGCATCTGAGGTTTGCCTCACACTATCACCACCACCCGGGGCTAGTCCCCTCCAGCCACTTCAAAGGGCCCATCAGTAACAGGCCGTGCCTCTACTCATACTGTTCCTTCTGTAGTATCCCCTCCTAACCCCTCTCCCTGTTGAACTTCTCATCCTTAAAGCCCAGGTCCAATTTGCCCTCTTTGACACTTTCCTGAGGCCCCAGCCGCAAGTAAACACGTCCACCCCTGAATCCTCCCTCACAGCTCTTTGTCTGCATTTATCTTAGGGCACTTAGCACCTTTTGCCTGGAGACCTATTTACATGCATGGCAGTCACATTCCCTTGCCTATAAACTCACTAGAGAAAGCTCAGCTCAAACTCTGTTTCAACTTTGGCTGGTTCCTTGGCTTCCCCAATGACATTAGCTCCTAGCTCCCTCTGCACTTTGTTCTTCCCTCATCGTCTGTAACGCGTAACCCTACGCCAGGGCGCTATCATTAGTCTGGTGTTTGCCTTCTAGAAGGTGAAGTCCTTTAGGGCAGTGTTTTCTCTTGTGTCCTCAGCCTAGCAGTCTCTTGCTCATTTGTTTGTTGAATGAATCCTGAATGGTGAGTGGGTGAAGCCTTTCCTGAATTCCCCCAACTGAAAGTAATCACTCCCTTCTCTGAACTTCAATAACTCCTGCTCTTCCTTTGGACATTTTTGTTTTTTATCTTTGTTAGAGTTATGCATGGACAGGTCTTAGCTACTTACTAGACTATAGGTACTTTAAGGTTGGAACCACTTGGGCTTGAACCTCAGCATCTCCATGTTCTGTCACTCAGCAGAACTCCTGGTCAAGTAAATGGGTTCAATAAATATTTTCTGGATGAATGATTCCTCACAATGAATGTAGCCCCTTAACGAACAAGTGAAACAAGGCTGAGCTGGGTAGGAGTCAACCATCCAAGCTGAGATGAGCTTTATGTGGTGGAAGGGCTGTGAGCTCTGGGACCTGTCACTCACACCTATACAATCAAGTGGCCATCAGTTACCACTGTCAGTACTGACATTTAAGACAACGCATTATTCTTTGCTTTGCCACTGGAGAAATTAGAAGAGTAAACATCAACGTCTTCCAAGAGAACAGGACAAAGTAACAAAAACCTATAAAGAAAAAATTATCTTGAGGTTCATACAGTACATGCATACATTCTAGAAAAGAAAACTATGCATTCTTTTGCCAGTGCACTTGTACCCCAATGCTAGTATTCCTTTCACATTATTAGAAAAATTATTTAGTGCCTCGTAAGACAAGAAAAGTGACAAAAAACTTGTACTATAATGCAATGGCAGAAAGGTTTTAAAATATAAAAAATTATATGGGTCTACAAGTTAATAATGGGTAATTTTTAGGTCACTGAGAAATAAGTAAAAATAAAATATCTCGAAATTAAGGGCTTTAAAACTGAGTTCTTTATAGAACAACACAACTGTTAAAGTTAAGGAAAGAAAGAAAAAGAACATTTGCTAAGAACCTGCAAAGGGTCAAGTACTACCTATCCTCAGTGATTGTACCAACATTATCTAATTTATCCCCCTACAAAATCATGAAAGGTTGCATAGTCAATAAACATTTGAATTGGAATTTGGTCATACGGCTTCTGTGTCTTCCCCTTTACTCTGCTCTTCTTTTTAAGAATTCACTGCAAATATAACACTTCGTGGAATTCCTCATCAGTACTGTTACCTTGATCCCTCTCTTCCACAGCATTGCAGGTACTATCTAGGCCAGTTAACTGGATTTTGGAGATGCATACAGCACATCTAAGCCCAAGTGGTCAGTATTTCTCCTATTCCACTACCCTATTGTTGATGCCTGTGATATCTTACTTTAGATAGTTTGAGCCGGTCAAGTTACAGAAACTACTAGTGTGTTTATGTTTTTTTTTATCTCCCCCAAACACACAGTTTTAGTGGCCTCATGACAGAAAGTCAGTCGTGGTGAGCAAAATGGGCTGAGATCCAAGGGATCGATAACTCACTTGGTGGCCTGCTGCCAAGTGTCCAAACAATTGCCTTTGGAAATTATGGAGTTCAAATCTCATCCACTCTGCCACTGATTAGTTGGGTGGGTCGCTTTTCTTTGTCAGTGGTGACAGTCCCTTTCAAGCAATCGGAGGTGTGAAAGTAGTGTACAGACAGGGGACTTCACTGCAAACCTTTATAGACAGTT